CTGGGCTGGTCGACATTGGAAGAACGACGACGACTATCCAGGCTCACCATGTTGTACAAGATAACAAATGGGCTGGTGCACTGCTCCGGAATCAAACAGAAACTCGTTAATCTTCCCCCCAGACTGCGACGAAGTCACGACAAACAGTTCCGGCTGGTAAAAACAAGAACAAAGTACAGAAGCTCCTCATTCCTGCCGAAGACAATAGGGGACTGGAACAAGCTTCCAAAAGCAACAGTTGAGGCGGCTACACTCGATACATTTGTGTCTATTGCCTCCTGTATTCCAACCCCCAGTTCATAACACCACTGCTGAGTCGCCCTTGCAACCAGTGAAGTATCCCATTGAAACACATGGACAGTAACATCGCAAACCCCTCTGAAACATAGGAGCCAGAATGATCAATTCATTGATCGTGGGCCCTTAAAATAAAGAAGAAGAAGATAAGTATTTTTATTTTTTCTTGTAAATTTACATTATAATGATTTTTTTTTCAAACGAAACACTGTTTAAAGGAATTTTTCATTTATTTCCTACAATGTATCATTTTTATATCTTAGTTACCTGTGTGTAAATCCACAAATATTTTTTTCCAATAGATGAAAATTAGGCTAGATTTGTTATAGGTGCATAATATTTTGAACACATTGTATAATGAATTGAAATAATCCAATTTTACTATGGTTTCTTGATAGAACACTTTCACTTGATAGAACACTTTCACTTGATAGAACACTTTTACTTGATAGAACACTTTCACTTGATAGAACACTATCACTTGATAGAACACTATCATTTAATAGAACACTTTCACTTAATAGAACACTTTCACTTGATAGAACACTATCATTTGATAGAACACTTTCACTTGATAGAACACTATCACTTGATAGAACACTATCACTTGATAGAACACTATCACTTGATAGAACACTATCACTTGATAGAACACTATCACTTGATAGAACACTATCATTCACTCTTTGGTTTGTACTGTTTTTGTATGGTTGCTAATGTCTTATATGCATGATAAAGTTTCCGAGCCTACCNTTTATCATTTTACTAGCCCCCACACCCGTTTAATAAACATTTAACAACTTCATGTAATTTGCAAATCTTCAACTTAGAAGAAAAAAGAGAAAATTAAATTTGTCTTTAATTATTAACTTGTTATTAATTTACAATATTAACTTTAATTTTAGAACAGCTCTTATTTATTTAGAAATGGTTTTAAAAATTAAAACCAGAAAAGAACATTTAAAAAATTAATTTTTTTCCCTTGTTACTTTAAAAATTAGTTTGCTTTATTTTCAATTTATTTTTTTATCACGTATATTGTTTGCGTTTTTTTTTCGAAAAATATAATAAAATCTTCCCCTTCTTCTTGTGAGAGGGAATTCCTTAATGTTTTATAGGCTTAGCAGTGAATGAATGCAGAAAGCAGAGGTACAAATAGGCGGGGGCAAAAAAAAAAGGAAAAAAAAAAGGAAAAAAACTAATTTCCCGGTGATTATGTTTGGATCGTTATTGAACGTCATTTCCTGTGGATGGGACTTTCCTGGTATGAATCAGCATAAATGATTTATAACTGCAGGCATGTATAACTAATACCGTGAGAATTCGTAGCATTGTGGGACTGCAAGAAGAAATCCCAAGCTACACCATTGAAATGTACAGGCTGTTTTGGATAATCCCGTTTCAATTTTCAAAGAATGATCCACATCGTATCAGTTAACCTCCTTTGCTGCCCCACCTAAAGGTGTGTGGTGTGTGTGTGGGGTGGGGGGGGGAGTAGACGTGGGGGGAATTAACCAGTAAATTGTTAATGCCCTTTTTCATACAGAGTTATGTTTCGTAATTTATATGTATATTAAGGTGCCACACAGTGCAATCACAAATAAAATTAAACCACTATTAAAAAAAAAACAAAGTCTTTGGTATACATTCTTTATAAAACTTAACATCGAGAAGCGGGAGGTGTGGATGAAAATTTGACAAAACATGCCTGCAAGTAAAGCACTAGATGGTAATTCCTATTACAACTGCCTCCCCACCCCCACACCCCCTAAGGTTCGCTACAGAACATTTTACACGCCCCCAAACTATATTAAATATTCGAATGTCATACCCGATTTTACACTGCAGATTTATACTCCTAGTCCTGGTTTATCAACTTCATTACAAAGGGACAAAAATGCAGTATAAATCATGAGATGAAACAATGATGTTGTTCGATGACTAGAGATGAAACAATGAAGTTGTTGGGTGTCTAGAGATGAAACAATGAAGTTGTTCGATGTCTAGAGATGAAACAATGATGTTGTTCGATGTTTAGAGATGAAACAATGAAGATAATGGGTGTCTAGAGATGAAACAATGAAGTTGTTCGATGTCTAGAGATGAAACAATGAAGTTGTTCGATGTCTAGAGATGAAACAATGATGTTGTTCGATGTCTAGAGATGAAACAATGAAGATATTGGGTGTCTAGAGATGAAACAATGAAGTTGTTCGATGTCTAGAGATGAAACAATGAAGTTGTTGGGTGTCTAGAGATGAAACAATGAAGTTGTTCGATGTCTAGAGATGAAACAATGAAGTTGTTCGATGTCTAGAGATGAAACAATGATGTTGTTCGATGACTAGAGATGAAACAATGAAGATGTTGGGTGTCTAGATGTGAAACAATGGAGTTTTTGGGTGTCTAGAGATGAGACAATGAAGATGTTTGGTATCTAGAGTTGAAACAATGAAGATATTGGATGTCTAGAGATGAAACAATAAAGATGTTGGATGTCTAGAGATGAAGCAATAAAGTTGTTGGATGTCTAGAGATGAAGCAATAAAGTTGCATAGGGACGTCAATTCAGCCGACTTTAACTGACAGACAGATAAGACTGACATATGTAATCTTATTCACAAACTGAAATGATCTCATTAACGTCATGTGCTTTGACACGACAGCTTGCAGCACTGGAGTTTATGCCATCGCCTCTATACGGTTGACAGAAAAAAACTGGACAGGGATCTGATCAGATTATCATGTAACTCATAACGTCCGAGGTGATTGATACACTGATGGAACTATTGTTTGGACCAAACATTAAGCCGTTTCAGAGATTCGATGAGTATTGCCACTCAGTTGACTTGTCTAGCTACGAAATGGGACGATAGGCATATCTCAGAGTGGCGGCTCTCAGTCGAGTTTCGGAATAACACCGCCATGGCTTTTGAGACAACCGAAACAGGTCAACCGTACTGAAGTCGTCCGTGGAGTTTTGGCAGACACGTGATTGAATTTATGACTTTTTGATTATCGTTTAAATAAACTGATTTTGTGGAGGAAAAAAAAAAAACGTTTGGTACTTAACATCTGAAGTGAGGTGCTGCTTTAAAAAAGGGGGGTTACTGGCTGGACATAACACGGACTGAAGCTATATAAATTGGAGCATACCATAAAATCTCTGTGAAATTATTCCCTTGCTATAATATTTTTTATAACTCAATTTTTTTTCTATATTTGTACAACTTCCTTCCTCTCAATATTTGTTTTTTTGTTGTTGTTTTTGTTTTTTTAAATCCTTACTCTCTACAATTTTGTGAATTCCTTCCATTCTGTCATTTTTCATCAATGCTTTTTTTCGTATTCATATATCTAATCTAAATTACGAGAGTCAAATCTTTATCTGCAGGTTAAATGAAATAAATCCGTCAAACATGTAGCATCCAGCATGACTTTGACCCCACAGGCCACCTTAACAAGACTTAACTATATGGATTGTTGGATGTTACAAGTGTTCGAAAGCAGCGTGGAGAAGAACGATGGGCATCCAAAGTATACATGAAATGTGTTAGTGTTACATAAATTGACGGATACTTTCCACATCCTCGATTTTCTTATCTGTGCTTTGAGACTAAGACGTGGCTGGTGACGGAGTTCAGTTCTATTTCATTATTTGAGAAAGGGCGACATGGCGAGGAGTATCATCTCAAAAGCTACTCTTATTCTTACTCCTTTGATAATCCTTATTATTTAAAGAATGTATAAGGTATTACAATGAAATGAATATTGTCTTAAAAAATAATAATTATAAAAAATTAAAAAATTTTGAGACAGTTGAGGCTCTTTCCAATTATTTAACTGTTGAGCTGGTATCAATTTAAATACCTTATCCCATTCGCTACGTCTCTCAGATAACATTGACGTTTTCCACAATACACAATTACAAATCTCCCTTACATTAACAATTTTTGCTTACATCAACATCAAAAATATAATTCTTTCTATAATTTGATTCTCTGTAACGTTTCAATCAATAGCTCACACTTTTTATAATGAGAAGTAAACAATATAGTTGATGGAAAACTTTTTTTTAAAAAATAATTGGCAAACATACATTTGCGATTAATAGTCCTGGTTTAAACGAACAGGCATACTTAATGTGAATAGACCTTGTGTACACCAATAAACTTACATCATGTGAATAGACCTTGTGTAAATGAATAGACCTACTATTATATGAGAAGACCTTGTGCACATGAATCGACCTACTTTATGTGAATCGACCTTGTGTACATGAATATATCTACATTATGTGAATAAACCTTGTGTACATGAATAGATCTACTTAATATGAATAGACCTTGTTTACATGAATTGATCTACTTTTTACAAATAGACCTGGTGTACATGAATAGACCTACTTTATGTGAATTGACCTACTTTATGTGAATAGACCTGGTGAACACAAATAGTTATGATTTAAGCATGCACGCAATGATCCATAGAAATGGCTAATATTTTGCCAACATATACCATCTCATCTCTATCTATAGTAGTTTAAGACTCTTATAATTCCTCTTGTCTAAGACATAAAGTGCATGTTTATTCGAATTTATGGCCATATTAGAGATTAGGATTACAGCAATAAAACATACACATATCAGGCGGCGGCTGACGAAGATTCACTACAAGTTAAGCATAATATGTAACAACGCTTCACAACACCTCTATAGATTCTTGTATCCACGCAGGGATTTTAGCCTTATATTCGTTCGATGGATTAGTGTTCAAGGATTAAACAAGAATTCACCGTATTGTTATAAGTAATATAATTATTGTTGTTTATTTTTGTGTGCTGTTATCAATAGTATCACTAGGGTTATGTATTCGTAAGATTCGTGATTAACACTCGAGATTTAGTTCAACGGTGGCTGATCATGTTTTAAATACGTATTTAAACTCGTGTATTTTAAACCTTATTCTTGAATAATCAGCGCAGGTTTAGCGCACAGAGGAAAACATTTAAACTAGAGAAGCAATTTCTCCTTTTACGACATCTTGTTTGGTGCACATAGATTAGTGCATTGTTAGATTAGGGACAAATGATGGGCATTGTTAGATTAGGGACAAATGATGGGCATTGTTAGATTAGGGACAAATGATGGGCATTGTTAGATAAACGATCCGCTTAGCTGGATCTGGTGTGGATTCTGCATTTTAAATTATGTTTTATTTACTTCAGCACTAGGGTCAGGAAGAGACCACCCATGAAAACCCTACCTGTATGCCTCTTCTTGTCACTAGCAGTGCTCGGTCTTGCTGTGGTAAGTACCACTAGCTGAATTATATGTCTAGAGAAATACGAAGGAGATTTTACCGATCAAAACTCATCTTTTTACTACATCTCACATCTACCTGAGTTTATCAAAAAATTAATTATATGTATTGATCTGCCTTGGTGTTTACGGATCAGAATGTCTATTTTCTTTTATTGTACGACATACTTACATTTTGAGATCAACCAAAAATATTGTAAACTAATTTTAAGGGGGAAAAAAACTACCAAAAAAAAAACCAACATGTCAAAGATTGTATTATTTATAAATAGAGCACGTTTAACACCAACCTACACCTAAAATAGCTCAACTCTTGCAGCCACAATTCGGTAACTTCACCAAGGTCACCACGATACCAGAAGGCATCACCTACAACGAGCTTCTGTCCGTCATTGACTGCTCAGACACGGACCATGGTCCTACCAATAGTTATGTTCTAACTGTGGTGCCATCCACACCGTGTGGGCAGTGCTTCAAGATCTTCTCATGTCCGGAGGGTACTTTTTGTGTGTGAATGAGGCTAAACTTAATTTAATGTATTTGTGTTATACAAGATAAATATATATATATATATATATATATATATATATATATATATATATATATATATAAAGAGTGTGGGCAGACAGTGAGAGCGAAAGAGATGAAGAGAGAGAGAAAGATAGAAATATACATAAAGAAAAAGCGGGCAGGGAGTGAGAGATATAGAGATGAAGCAAGACAGACAGAGAGAGAGAGAGAGAGAGAGAGAGAGAGAAAGAGAGAGATAGAAATGGAAGACACAATTAAAAAACAAATTTTATCCCTAACACTACATGCACTTATTTATTTACTTTAAGGACCAGATGTTGTAATAAAAAAATATTTCATTATAATCAAATATTTTATTAGCAAAAAATTGCTCCATGTTTCATTAATTTGCCTGTAAAATTGCTCATGTGTAACTAGTTATTTAATACCAAATTAGAAGCTCTATCTGGAATCTATTTCATGGAATATTGTTCCTTCAATCTTTTTATTAGAACGTAAAGGGTTTAAGGTTGAAATTAATCAACAGCTTTAACTTGTCATTAATGCATTATAAAATGGTTCATTAAATATTTAATTTAAATCGTGTTCCAATTGTTACAAATATAATTATCAAATAAACGGTTTCACAATTTGACAAATAGTTTGAATAAAATAAATAGTATTCTTTAAACAACAAAATACTAGAATGAATGATAACAGAATGAACGTTTCACTGTCTACAGGCGACTGCCTACAGTACAGGGCTGGTGTGGATCAGCTGGACTACAGGCAGGCTCCGTCCTATCTGATCACTATAGCCTGTGACAACGGGGTGGACACGCCTGACCAGCGGGTGGTACAGGTCATGGTCGTACCGAGCTCACCTCCCGTGTTCGACCCAGATTCCTTGTACGGTGAGTTAGACAACATGTTTGGGGAAAAGAATGATGGTGCCGAGACACATCATTTACGCCCTAAGGTCTTTGGTTACGACTACTGAATCGGTTTTACAGTGAAATCTGATGGAAATATGGTGGACCTTGATGGGAATATGGTGTATCTTGATAAGAGTATGGTGGACATTGATGGGAATATGCTAGACGTTGAGGGGTAATGGTGGAACTTGATGGGAATGTGGTGGACATTGATGGGAATATAGTGGACCTTCATGCAATGAAAACTATCAAAGATAACAACTTCAAAAAGAAATATACCTTTAAATCTAAACAAGATGATTAGAGTTCTGACGATTTCATTATAACAAATTATAAATATATCGTTATTGTTTTGCCTTTTTTTATAATGGTCTTTTTTATTATAAATAAAATATGTTTTTTAGGTTTTAAAACAAAAAATTGTAGTTAGTTAATACTGAATCCCATTTACAAATGGCACTTGAAACCGTCTCTCCTCAGTAAACATTAGCATCGACTCACACAAGACGCCAGCAAGGACCGTGCTTTTTGACGTTGACGCGGTCGACAAAGATAATGATGACGTCATCTACTCGCTTGCCGTTGTACCCTCGACGTCAGCTGGACATTACTGGATAGATTCATGTACGATGACACACCCTATCAGGTCGTTTATCTTTGACATCCGCTTGACATTACAGGGTAGAGTCATGCATGACGACACATTACACTAGGCTTTCTTCTCATTGGTAGTTTTGTCGCTTACAAAAGTTGACTTTGAAACAACCTAAGATATGGGTTTCAACATATATCTGTTAGCATGACCCACGAAATTAAGTAGTCTGGTCAATATTTTAAAACGACATCCGTGATAAACGGTTGGAACATGGGCCGGTATTGTCTTCGCCACACCAAAACTTCTTCTTTTAAAGCTAACAGCTCCCTAGGCGTCTCTGATCCACGGAGCGGCACGCACGGAAACAACTCCATAAATTGAATGAAATTCCCCAGTGACAAACACCGAGGATGTCTTCCCTTATAATCATTGTTATTGATACTGTCTTTATTTATGTTCTCAACCCCGAGACGAAGATAGCATCTTCTCTATGATTCGCAGCTAAATCATTCAGCACAGTTTATACATCAATAAAACTTACTTCAAAAAATAACTTAAACCTAAACGTTATCTTAAGTACATTGCATGTTACAAGAAGTTTGGCTTTCAACATGTTGAGTGGTTTATTTCTTCAAACAGTATGAAAAGTAAATGGCATGTTGAAAAGTCCTAAGCAAGTTTTTTTGTAGCACCTGTACTTCATAACAGCGCGTTTTAAGTCTGTCTACTAATCTTGCCCAATTGTAATATTTATTTTTTTTTTTGTTGTTGCTCGGTCTGAGTAATGATTTACTCTGAACAGTTACAGGAGAGATCTTCACCACGGTGGACACGAGGAGAGAGTGTGACCGTAATGACGTCAGCCTGCTGGTGACGATTACTGACGGTAAAACCAAAGTGGGACCACTGGTCATCGACGTGTCAATACTGAGTAAGGTTTTATTTTTATCGTTTTACTTTCTGTATTTATTTCTGGCTTCTTATTCTTAACCGCAACAGATTTGAGCGCTTAGAGCAGACTAGCGACTTATATTTGGGCAATAACTGAAAACAAATGGCCTAGATGTTGACAACGATAAAGTAATGAGCCGGAGAGTTGAGAAATAGAGACTTTTGAAATTCACTACAGCCTCACTACTTTCATGTTGCATATATTTGGTGAATTTTAAATAAAAATGGAAGATTATGTGATACATTCTAATAGAAAAATGTATCGTATATATATATATATAATAAATAAATAAGTTGATATTTTATTTTTTTTCAAAATAATTATGAAATTCTTTTTTATTCACGGATCAAAAGTTAACATGTTAAACCATGGCAAAGTTTAATCTTGTTTTTGTCTTTAAAATTTTTTATTTGTTTCAATTTCACTTAAGCCAGTTTTAGATAAATAGTTTAGAAATACATCGTGGAACAAGATACGTGTAGACTTGAAAATAACAACTCCTAATTATGTGTTGTTTCTCCTTTAGCTTTGCCTGCTGAAGAAGGCGTTCAGCCGAAAAGTCTTTTTCATTGCCCTTTATAAAAAAAATTAAGCATAAAATGTTACACTATTTATTTGTTTCAAACTGCTTGAAAAGAAGTCCCTAAAATATTATCCCTGAAAAAAGCTTTACTGTCAATCGAAATCCAACTTTAAAGCTCTGAATTAAAACCTGCATGAAAATGTCATGAATATTCGACCACTGAAGTCTGTAATGCCTCATGTAAAAGTTATATTTGACGACCTTGTTTTGTGTCAGATCCCAACGTCTCCCCAAGGGCTGCCAATCTCGACACAACGGTCCAGATACCAGAGACAGCCCAGGGGACAGCGTACAGCATGATGTTCATGGATGATAACACCAGGGACGTCTTTTACACCGTGACGTCAGGAAACTCTCCTGGTCTTGCCCAGTATACAATAGATGGTAGCTCCTCTTAACTTCTTTCAAAACAAATGTTTATGTTTATGAGTTGAAGGTATATAAACTAACCATTTCTTTAAAAAAATGAAGGTTGGTCTCATGTATTACGATAACGGTGATTAACTGATGCTTTTTGAAAGATCCTATTGTGGAGGAACAAAAAAATAATAAAATTCCAGGTAACTTGTAAATCAGATGTATATTTCTAAACAGTGCCAAACTTATTAGGATTGTATCATGGAGACGCTAATACTGACTGGAGTTTTTCCCAATGCGCGCCTTCGTTAAATTCTAACACATCATAATAGCGATTATATTTATATACATTTTTTAAGGCAGTGGTTCCCAAACCTTTCAATTCTCAATGTCTTTACTGAATCCAAGTTTATTCAAGGTCTCTCATGTCAAATACAGGGCGAAATACCTCAGCATTTTTTTTTAAAGAATTTTTTGTTAGGGACTTCTGCTACAGCCATTGCTAAGAGGATTACTGGTTTACACCATCAGCCCCGCCTAAAGCACACAATTTATTAAAATAAATAGAAACTTCACCAAAAAGAAGCTTACAAAATCCTGTTATGTTTCGCGGCTCCCCTTTAAGAAAGTTGCGGCTCCTTAGGTGCACGCGCTAAATATCTTGGGAACCACTGGCTGAGTCACGTGTCAGATACTTATTATGTTCGCAGGTAAATCCCCAAACATCGATATCAAAGGGAATTTAAACTACGAGACGTCTGCCCTCAGATCAACCGTTCTAGACATCCAGTTGACAGATGGCTTCTGCCGCTCACCCTTGTACCAACTAACACTTACGGTGAGCTGTGTACATAGCGTACTCCTGTACAAACTGACACTAATGGTGAGCTGTGTACATCGCGTACTCCTGTACAAACTGACACTAATGGTGAGCTTTTTACATAGCTCGCCTCTGTACAAACTAAAACGAACCATGAACTTCCTATTTTTACTTGGAAAAAATATGATCAGATTGTAAACTAGCTGAATACAATATTTCTCAATTCGCCCACAAATAAGAAAGAAAATACTTTTTTTGTGTGCATTTTTCGAGACTTAATGAACACCAATAAAATTTGATTCAAACAAACCATTGTGTGTTTCAATATTTAAAAATTAACAAATTATTAGAGATAGCCCGATGAACTTTGGCGACAGCAATGCGTGAACTTCCCATCTAGTAAAGTTACTTGACAAAACATGAACTCAAGATACGCATATTTAAGAATCCCAATATTTGCTACACCCCTTCCCCCATGATACGTCACTTCACACTTTTTTTTTCCCACGCCCAAGAACTATATTACTGTTTTAACGTCCCAAACACTTTTAAACCGAATATTTATTACACCGTATTTAAATTGAGAAGATTTAATTTCCGGAAATAAATATTTCGCACCAAACGCAGTTCCGTTATTTTTACACCACACACTTCCACCCTACCCCCCCCCCCCCCCCAAAAAAAAAAAAATCATATAGCGTAGTTATCGGGAATTATATTTTGTGCGCTTTTCGGAAATGGAAGTAGCCACACAGCAAGAGGGTAATTTAATTCATCGAAATCATCCTTTATCTTAAGTAAGTAAAAAATCATAATTCTGAAGTCATATGAAAAGCAAGAAGAGGTTGTGTCAGGACAGGGCTTCAATGTTCTTTGGGGCTGAGGGGTCCACTGGGGGGGGGGTGGACTTGTTTGAACTACTTTATATTTGCATGTTTGATTCGTATTGTGTCCATGAAGGGGGTTTCCGTAAATGAGGACCTGGGCAAATTCATGGACCAGTCCAGGAGTCACAACCTCTGTCTGCTTCACTGTTGAGTGCAGATGCAAACGTGTGTCTGATTTCAGGTCAAATGTATCGATCCACTTACAAAGTTTTACAGTAATCTAATTGCTCCTCCAGGTAACCGATGTCAACGAAGCACCACTCATCGTCCCCAGCGTCAGCAGGGTTGAGATCTGCGAGGGAAAGGTAATGCAACACAAGGTCAATTTTGATTCACAAAAGAACACCAACAAAAATACAACATTTATTTGTTTTTGTATGGAAAATTAGTATAAAAAAAAGCCAGACTTGTTCACCATGACCTCTATCTGAAAGGCTGAATGGCCTAGTATTTACATGACCAGGTTGTAAATGAACGATGATGATGTATTGGTCCACCATGACCTCTGGCTGAAAGGCTGAATGACCTAGTATTTACATGACCAGGTTGTTAATGAACGATGATGATGTATTGGTCCACGCTTCATTGTTGTTTGTATTGTGGCTATTTGTTGCTCCAAAAAAATGAGTTACATATTTTCTTAATGCGTTGTGGAAGTTTTTAAAAAATGTATTTTATAGTAGCTGTTACGTCCGCATCACTTTAAATCACAAACATTAAAAATTCGTTATTACTATAAAATGTTTGTTTTTTTCTTTTACAACCGAAATATGTTTACTTCAACCAGAACCAACATATTAAGTTCTCTCTGATTAATCTCATGATATGTCCACGTCATATACTCCCCCACCCCCCAACCCTCACATCAAATCTGCACACGTCTAGAGAGACTTCAACCCGGGGTTCAGGATTGTGGACGAGGATGCCAGCGATGTCCACAAGTGGTCCATCTCCAACTTGACGTCCGACGTGGCCGGACACTTTGGCATAGACAGCTCCACGGGCGTCATGAGAACACTGCTGGACTATGACGTCGACATGGGCGCTATGGCGGCTAAAAGACAGATCATTGTGCAGGTAAGATGTGTGTGTGAGACTTACGACATACACTCTTTTAAAACCCATTACACATTATCTCTTATTTCAGTGTTAACCAGACATCTGTTACAACTTTCAAGTATAACAATTTGTTATTTCAGTGTTAACCAGACATATTTTACGACTGTCAAGTATAACATCCGCTATTTCAGTGTTAACTTACGGAATCCTAACTTATCAATTATAAGGTCACGGACAAAGGCGGCCTGATTGCTACGGCCACTGTGGACATCACGATTCTTGACTGCAACGACAACGCCCCTGTGTTTAACAGCGCCAATTATTCAGCGGCGGCTACAGAATGTACAGCTGCGGGTATATATTGCTGGATTTTTATCTGCATGTTGTATGGCAGTAACACATTTCGTAATAAAAAAAAACTTAGGTTATGTGAAAGAAAAATTGTTCAATGGTACTTCCAGGCCGTGATATAATTATTATTAGGAAAAGAAATGATTGATAGCGTTGAATGTAACATTAATCATATAAATATTTCATTAATCAATAATATTTTATTAAGTCTGGTAAAATTAGCATTCCTAACTGGTTGACCTAAATGAAAACATATTGCGGGCACAGGTTCCCAGTTAATGAAGGTCACGGCAACAGACCGGGACTCGTCACGTGGGATGAACAATGTGCTACACTACAGGTGAGTGTCGTCACGTCAATTGTTTCTTTGCTTCTTTGTTTGTTTGCTTTTTTGTTTGTTGTTTTTTTTTTTTGCATTCCCCTTTGTAGACCTCAAATATCCGATTAAAATTAGACTTTTAAACATTACATACAGCGATCCATTAATCCCAGATTAAGGCAAAGGATTACAGAAACGCCCCCCCCCCCTGGACTCCTGAAACATGTTACTTTCACATAGCCTAAGCTAGAGACTTAACTTTTTTAATAACAGGGAGGTTGTTGCTCTTAACAGGAAAGCATTAAAAAGAATNATATATATATATATATATATATATATATATATCTAATTCTTTCAATAGCAATTATGAAAGAGCACACACTGGTTTATTTATTTCTGCACATCCTATTTCTCGCATAAATACTTCAGAAACATTTTTTTTTCCTTTTAAATCTCCATTTTCCCATTCTCCCCCCCCCCGGCCCCCTTCCCCTGACATGTTCACTATTTCAGTGGATCTGGGGGCGCCATTTACATCGCTTCAGGGGGCGAGATCATCGTCGCCCAAGCCATGCCAGCTGGCACGGTTCTCACATTTTTCGCCTACGCCTATGACAATGGGCAAACACCAGGTCCGCTGAGAAGCCTACACCCAGCCGTTGTCAGCGTGAGATTCACTGTAAGTAACAGTTATTCCAGGAATACAGATGTAGGACTTTCACTTAAATAAAAAGTGGTGGATATAGACTTAAAGTTGTGAATTAGAATTTTTCAATAACATTACTTATTTTTTTAAATATAATTTTGAGCGTCAAAGTTATTATTTTTTTTTTAATGTTAGGTTTGCTCAATTATTGATAGCCTTTGATAAGTTATGTACAGCCTCTCAGGTGTCAAGTCAGAGACAAAACCTCAGGGAACGTGTGTGTAAGATCTTTGTATAATTACTATAATTATTTATGGTTTTTAATTATTATTGTTTTTGTTTGTTTATTATTTTGTTTGAGAAACGCATTAAAAAAAAATAAAATAATTAAAGCGCAATGAACCGTGTTAAGTGGCAAGTGTGTGGGTCTAATTTTAGCGTTGTGACCACCATCACGTGTCTCTCGTTGTTTGGATTGCGGCGTCACGGCTTGATGGGGGTTTGCCTCTTCTTTTTACCAACACCTCCCTTGATTGGGAAAATGTTGTTTAATTTCGAATACGTTCTATCAGTTCGAATGAATGCAGCAATCAGATGACGAAATTTATAGAATTTCTTTTCTGCATTTGTTCTGATTTAATTCATATACATATAATATAGGTCGTCATCTGTCCTAACGGAGTGAGATTTTTGTTAATTTTCTTAGAAAGTTACGTGACGTAATATACTTTCAAGATGTACCCTTTTTGTGTGTGTGTAAACTAATATATGCATGTTTCGAGTATTGTAAAAATTTCATTTTCGGTTCTGTAAGTTGATATTTTTCTGTATATTTGAATTTATGTTTTTACATAAGTTCAAAAGCATAATTAAAATGAGTTTTGTCAGTGTCTCTAGCTTTGGTGTCGTTGCTCTGTGGGCACTGGTTGCCAGTCCTTTACTACATATTGTTCATATAACGAGCCAAATCTTAAAACAGATAACATTTCCAAAAATCATATAAGGGAACTAAATGGTCAGTAACTTCCATAGAGTTTCAGGGGCATCGTTAGAATTGTTTATTATTGCCGATATCAGACGCTATCCAAAAAAAAAAAATAAAGATAAGTATGTGAATCATAAAATGTTTCTATCTCCTTCACTTGCTGTTGTACTTTCATTTGAAGAAATGCCCAACTCCACCGCCGTCGACTACGACTCCAGTGGCCACAACGTCACACTTTGCTTCAACCACAGAAACCCTTCCAAAGGAGGTGAGACTTTCTCTCTTTAAATCACCTTTCATAAATACAAATTTATGTGTAAATATATAGCCTTTAAAAAAAATCATATATTTTACACATGTTCCAGAAAATGGATTTTTCTAAAGGAAGAATTCATCAGGCAAAATAATGAAAACAAAGATCGCGAAATTATTTCATGACGGGTCAAAATATTACAAAAGTTAATTATTGAATTATGCCACATTTTTTAACACTGATTAAATATTTTCGAAATTTGAAATCATCAACAATGAAAAAAAATGTATTTATGATTTTATTACTTTATGACTGAATGTTACGTTCATTTAAATGCTACGATTAAACAGTTTAAGGAAAAAGGATCTCAAAAAATCTTTTCTCCTCTAAAGAATGACAACACGGCTTGGATAATCATAGCATCCCTGTTAGGGACCGCCTGGCTGGGCGTACTGGGATACATGCTGTGGAGGTACGGGGCGAAGTGTCTGGACGTGTGGCGCAAGATAAACTGTGGTCAAGATGCATGCTGGGAAAAGAGAAGGTAAATGAAGGCCTTTGTGCATGGTGGGGTGGTCTTAATGATGTCTTTTTATTATTATTTTTTCTTTCATTGTGGCACATTTTATAATAAAGACTTTTGAGCGTGATGTGAAGACATTGTGGAAGTGATACCATCGATGAATAAATGCATGGAGTTCAGTTTGGTCGTGGGATAGAATTGAACTTTTTTTTTTTCATTTGTAGAATTTGATCTTCGAATGCTTTCTAAAAAAACCTACTTTTTTGAGTACTCAGGATCAGCTATTTTTAACGTCATGCTCTAACAAACAACTCAATAAAGTGACGGATGAATAACTATTTAGTCTTTGAATTCAACTAATATTTGTAAAATTAATAATCTCCTAATTAGTGTTAGGAGGGGCAGCAATTTACAATGAGACTGTACTTAAGGATGATCTTGGCAGGGTGCAGGGGGGAGGGTGGCAATACATGTTAAATGGATTCTCTTGGCATAGAGCCTGTTTGATGACTTTGGCACGCGGTCCAGTAACAGAGCCTTGAGAGTTGACCTTCTGCTCGGGGCCCACTGATGCAGAGTTTATGGCAGCCGTGTTACGGCGCAAATGATAGAGCCTGCAGAGCAGCGGTTCTCTACAATTTTTATCAATGCGACCCCTTGAAATCATTTACCAAGGTTTAAAGACAGCCCAAACCAGGATTATTCCTAGATATTGAGAAAAAGAGACCTTAAAGTTGGTGTTGGCGGAGGGAGGTTGAGTGATGTGTTTGTTGTATGTGGTACAGCGATAGTTTACAATCTATTTTAAATACTTGTCATGGTTTGTTTTTTTTACTTTCTAATTGAAACGTAATGATTTCACATCAAAGCAAAAAGCACCTGTTTCTTCTACAGTTTGTGTGTTTGTAACCGTATTCAGCATTTGCAATACAATGAAATGATACTTTTAAATAAATCTTGTGTAATGGACAATGAAAAGTTACAGAGTGTTCAGTTTTAAATGGAAATTTTGCGCCAATAAGATGCACATTTGGTATATTTTAAAACGTTCAATTTCCTGAAGTTTTCTAGTGACCAATGTAATGCTGTGGTCGCATCAATAGGTTTAGAACCTCTGCCGTCAAGGAACCTTCAATGAATATGTAAAAGCACTTCCAGTTAGGGCTGAACTTAGTGCTGGTCTCCGTTGACTCTTACAATATTTTAGTAATGTCCGTTTTGTATTACATCAAAAAAATATAATCGTCATTAATTACTAGCAAGTCAATATTTTGTGTTTTTTCCAAATGTCTTAACGCAGATTCAGAAGGCAGTCCGTCAGACGGATCAAAGTTAAGCCAGTCATTCAAGAAACCATGTATGTATTAGATTAATGCTATATTTTGTAACATCGACATTGAATGCCAAGGAAAAAAAAAAAAAAAAAGCAATAAAAAAAAAAAAAAAAACATAAAAAAAAAAAAAAAAAAAAAAAACAAAAAAAAAAATTAAAACGCAATGAAGAATAAACCGACTGTCAGAAAAGTATCTTATTCCGAGAAAATCGGACCTATTTATTCACCCCCACCAAATTCACTTCTTCCATTAAATATATATATATATATTTTTTTTTTTTTTATTTGCTTCCATTACTACCACCACCCACCTTTAGCCACTTGGGCTACATACTTAAACTTAGATTGAGAAATGTAAATATAGCAAATAATTCCTTTTGTTTTTGTTTTGTTTTAAACTCTCGATTTCTTTGACTGTTCAAAGTAGTCCGACCGTAATATTGGATTGAATTAAATGTTCAAAGTCAAACACAATCTAAAGGAGGATTTCGGGAGTCAGAAAATCTCCATTGACGTATATTGCAAAAATATTTAATCTTAGTCATATTCTTTGGGTTGGCTCCTAAGAGCAGAAAATTTAACCAAACTATTAACAAAACAAGCAGATATTTATGACAGACTCTCGTACATTTACAAGCCTGAATAAAAATCACCTTTCTTTTTTTTTATTGATCTTCAAGTTAAATTTTAGTCCAATTAAACTATCATCACAGAAATAATATTGTTGTACAATTGTATTTTTTTTACCATACTTTCTTGTTACGGCGTTACATGATGTTAAACTATGTTTTTGTATTATGATTCCTTGTCATTGCTTTTAAATTGTATTGTTTTATTCAGTGCCGTCGTCGTTTTGTTACATAGTGTTGTCTTCTTACGTTGTTTCAGCGTGGTGTTAAATTCTATGTCTTATTATGTTTCCTTGTTATGTGGTTACATTTTGTAACTTCTTGTCTGATTTAGAGTGGATGAACCTGAACCAGAACCGGAAGAACCTAGTTACGAGTTTATCTTTTGATTTGAGGAAACGAAGTAAGCATTAACGGTCTAAAAATAGTCCTTAGGTCCCGTGTTAGATTAAAAATAAAGAGAAAAACTAAACTAACTACTAAATCTGATTTTCTTTCATGCTTTTCCCCCACTAGTTTAAGTGCAAGGCACTGACAAAAAGTAAGGGGCCATTTTTAACATGTCCCTTCAGTTGTTAAAAAAATAGATTTAAAGAAGTATTATTATCTAAGGCTTGATTTAACCTTCCTCAAAATATTTTTCCCAAGGGTAAGTCCATTGTTCAATGGATCTCTCGTTCACTTGATCTTGTTCTGATAATATCTGATCAGTTCTTGCCTGTTTACATTTGACCCCGTGTTCTGTTACACTATCCCACAACATAGATTTGATTAACATCATTTTATTACTATCCTTATCCCAGGGATATATTTGCATAACAAGACCAACAGAAACGAATAGATATCTGCCCCGGTCCCCAAGAATTTGAATGACAACAGTTGATTTACGAGTGACCCACAGATGTCCCACCCTTACGTCACGTGGTGACATGCTGACATGCATATTAAATTGAGTCCAGCTATTTAATGGGGGACATTTGTATAGTCTCCAATATGACTTGCCAGTGATTAATAGTCCATTTTTTTTTCAACATGTCGTTATGATCTGATGTTATTATTCTGTAATATATTGTCACTTAGCATTAAACGATATTTGAGTGTCTTACTTCAAATGTATACAGTCATGTTTTTCCTTATGAAGAAACTCACTTGAGCATGTTCTCCTGTAACAATACTTGACTGATATATTTTCTTATAGTCTGTTCAAATTCATCAATACAATTATTACTATAAATGAACTCCCTAACTTAATTTTTCATCCCCACAACAGTGATTCCCGTAACTTAGACTTTGGTCGTAACCAGGGCAAATCGTATCCGGAAATTTGATCGAAAGAAATTTCGTCGACGGAAAAATTGATCGACGGAAATTTGATCGAACGGAGATTTGGTCGAAATTTTTGTTCAGTTCACATTTTGTTTTACTATATAGTATAGTGCGTTCAAAAAGAAATTGGACTAACACTTTAACTCGTGAACTGAACAATACTTCGAACCAATTTCCGTTCGATCAAATTTCCGTCGATCATTGTTTCCGTCGACGAAATTTCTTTCGATCGAATTTCCGGTAACCAGGGCAAATAGTAACAAGTCGTTATCAGCAGAGGCCTATCCCAAGTGATCGTCAAGTAAAAGCAACATAACCTCTAGGTGCCTGGTGTGTGTCAGGCAAACAAACATGCAGACGACTGAAATGATCGCTTAGCATGACAGGGCCTGGCCTGAAATATTGTATCATTAACCAATATCGATTGAAATACAACACTCGATCATGTATCGATCATGTCAACATAATATGGCGTGACAAGGCGGTGCGTGTAGGGGCTCGTAGGTTTGTAGGCCAGTCTGGGGGTGGATATTAATTTATTTTCAAAAGTTAAAAATACATTATAATGCCAATTTTGCAAAACTATCTTTGTGTAATTAGAATATGTAATCAATGTATGAGTTAATGTAACTGTGATGCAATTTAAGAAGGTATAGATTTTATCTATATTATTAAATATTATTTTTAAAAAAAAACAACATAAGCTGCTCTAAAAACTAATTACGAAAGTTAATAGAAGCTGCCATTAAAATTGTGTATATGAAATTGAGGACATCAAGTCTGAGTCGTATGGTCTCCTAATATTCGAATTCCGATGATTGTAATTATGCGAATAAGTTCACCCCCCCCCAATCCCACCAGCTTTTGTTTTAAGATGCGTTTTAATTCACAAAATAAGAGGATAATTTTTTTTTTTAAATTCATAAGTCAGACTGGACTCTTCCCATTGCAATATACAGTGGAGCAGGCGATACTTTTAATTTTTTTTTTTCGTTAGGCTGCATTTTCAGCTAAGTTCAGAATTTGTTTTTTTTTCTGATTGAACTAGCGCCAAAAATGTCGGTTCGCCACGTGGCTGCACCACTAATCCTGGCTACGCCCTTGGTAACATAGACTGTCGGGTTTCATCCATGTAGCATGTAGCATCTTGGCTATGTCGTATAGCATATTTGATACCATTTATAACTATTAACAGTTCTTCAATTTTAATTTCATAAGCATTGTTTTTAAAGATTTTTTTTTCTCTTTTAAATTGAAATTATATGCAAATAATATATATATATATTTTTTTTTTTTTTTTTAATTTAAATTTTTTTTCTTCTTTTTTTTGGGGTTTTTTTTTTTTTTTTTCTTTTTTTTTTTTTTTTTTTTTATTTTTTTTTTTTTTTTTTTCCTTTTTTTTTTTTGTTTTTTTTTTTTTTTAAAGATTTTTTTTTTTTTTTTAAATTTAAATTATATTCAAAAAATATATATATTTTTTTTTTTTTTTTTTTTAAATGCAAGTTTTTTTCCTCCATGTTGCAGGGGATGTTACTCTTTTAGTCGTTTTGTATTTTAGTTTGTTTAATATTATTTCTAGTTATTTCCCTTTATGGGATTGAGCTTATTGTTACAATTTGCAGGCTATTCCAGTAATACAAGATATCTCCCCTCCCCCCCTCCCCCCCACCAAAAAAAAACAAAAAAAACAGTCTTTAAGAAGTAGTATCCCAAACAAATGAGGCCGTCATTTTACG